TCTGTGATGCCAGCTCTTGTTCTAATGACGCTTTCACTTTGTCTATAAATAGCCCTAACACAATCTAAAATTGTTCCATTTATACCGTAGTTTTCAAGAACTTTCCATAATAAATTTCTGTTTACTCTACCGAAAGCTTTTTCTTGATCTATGAAAGCGATGTTCATTTGATGTCTGTGTTCTATTGTGACCTACAGTTAACATCTTTATTTCAGTTTGACTTTGTTGTGATGTCCTGGTACGGACTAATGGAGATTCGAGCCAGTTATTTTGTATTTGTTGTCTTCCAAAATGGATCGTGACTTCGATAAGTTAAGGCCCTCTGTAATTTATGTTAATCTACTAGAATAAATGCGGGATATAAAACCAAAACCCACCACTGATACCAAGTGATTCAGACTGTTCAGAAACTACTTGAGGACGGAAAATAGAGAGGATATAGACCTAGTTCTATCTGTGATATATTTTATTACTTCTACCAAGGCCACGTCATTCAAAAAATGGAAAGCATCTTATAACATTGCAAGTATAATAGTTACTAGAATAAAACATACCCACGGCTCAAAAGATCTTCAGATGAAAATAGAGGCAGCATATTGTAAACTGTGCCAGTGCACTGTTGCACCAAGAATTAGTAGCATTTCAAATCATAAAAAATCCGAAAAACACAGGATGAAAACTCCGTCAAAAAGCTAGTCACAGCTTATTACAACAATGACTCCTAGGCAAAGTAATGATAAAGTTAAAGCAGCAGAGTTGCAACTTGCTGTATGCATGACCTGCCATTGTGCAATAAGCACAAATGATCATCTAAGTGAAATCTTGAGAGCGCGTAGTCGGGGAAGTACATTTGAGCACACACAGTTGCATAGTTCATGCCTAATAAAAATTTAAAAAAAAACGTTATATCGCCTGCACTTAAGGATGACCTTAGTGATGCTTTTCGGAACAAGAAAAAGTTCATCATTATAGATGAGTTGCAAAGACTTAATCTCATCTGAGAAAATGGTTAAAGATTTTACATTCAAAAAGGTTTACGCTGTATCTTTCACTGGTTCCAGTGAGGATGATAGTGAAGAATTCAATCTAGAGCTTTTGATGTGAAGTGAGTACAACGTTATACTTTATTTGGCATTTTCTGGTATATTTTTTGTAATGGTTTGGCATAAAATAAAGTTTTTTATCTGGCAACCCTGCAACCCTGGTGTAAAGTGTAAACGTGACTACGCGAAAACCTCGTGTTTACGAAGACTGGAATCTCGGTCGTGTTGTTCCCCAACAATGGCAGACTCCGGACAAGACGATGATGATTTCGTTATTATTAATGCAGATGAGGTCGTAAAAATAATAGATCTTGACGGCGATGCTGGTCCGGGTGAGTGCTATGTTATGAATAATTTAAATTAAAGTGTGCTTCTTTTTAAGATTTAATTTACCTTTTACTACTTCATCTTCATCAGACAGATCTCAGACCTGTTGTTGTTGTGACTGGTTAGTATTTTCCTCTCCAGTTGTTGTACAATCAAACAATGAATTTGTATGTGCGTCGTTCGTATTGTAGCAAATTTGTCTTCATATTTGTTTGTTTTGTATCTGTCTGTCAACCTTCATGGATGTTGGTCTATGCCTCGTTATCCAGAAACCATTCTCCTCTTTCACTTTAGTTTAGTTCACTACCTGCAGTTTTTTTTTTTCTAAGTAGGTTATTCAGAGTTGAGTTATCATAGTTATGAAGTTATGAACTGACCAGTGACATCACAATCATCACATCCCTCAGAACGTTCCCATTTCTGCTCCATCTCTCACCTTCAGCAGCCACTGAAGAGCTCTAATGTAATTCAGTTATGGAACAAGTACAAGACAAGTAGCAACTTGATTATAAATCCATCTTGTCTTACTCTTTCCTTGGAGTGCAGAGTGTGGACAAGATTGCTTTGTCACTCCCTGCAGCATTTTCTCCACAACCTAATGCCCAGAGATCTGTTTGTGCTTTTGCATTGTTTACTTGCTCCCACTTTGGTACCCATTTTTATGCTGGATCAACCTGCTAGTCAGTTGTTTTTTTTTACAGCTGCTTCAGTTGAGTTGATCTTTATACCACCGGTCAGGATGTAATTATGCAGCCACCTGAGCAGCTGCCCTTCCTTGCTGTATTATACTGTAAAGAGAGAGAAGTGAAATTTGCCTTCTTGAACACTGCATTGCATTCATTTAATGATAGCTTCTCAGTCAGGTGCCATCTCCACAGTGAAAGGTTGGTTGCATTGGGTCTTCAACATGCTCTAATCTCTTGTCTTGGTTGTACAGTCTGGCTGCTGTTTGCCCATCTCTGGATGTTGTCTCACTTATTTCATTGTCATACCTCTTGCTTTCTTAACCTAAATTTTGGCTATCCTCCGAATAACGGGCACGAAAGATGGCGACAGCAAAATATCCTGACGAGCCTGTGTCATGTGTTGTAAACATTCAGAAATTGAATGTCGAAACTAAAGAAGAACGAAAAAAAATGTTATATGAAATCGACTACTTACAGATAATTTTATGCCTTTATATCTGGAAATTATGGCACAGAAGTTGTAAATAGTGCCCGAAAATCTACTGTTTGTGGCTGTTACGCCATTGAAACTCGGCAAAGTACGATCTGAACAAGGCGTGGCTCGTACCGCATTGGTAACGCAGCTTTCTTTTTAGTAGCATCCACAAACCGGCTATCCTCCGAATAACGGGCACAAAAGATGGCGGCAAAAACTGGGCCTCAGTCACGTGTTATTAGGGCACTTCCAGAGACTTAATTTGCGGTTTTCCGGCGACTACTGCCACCGCCGAGAGTAGCCCTACGCCGCTCACGTGGCGTGGATTGGGGCTAAACAAGATGGCTAGCACTCATGAGCAAAGCTGCAGGAGATGCGGAAGCTGCTGCTAGTGGGTCCTAGCCATCTAGTTTAGCCCCATCTGCGGCGCGGGGGAGACTTTCGGCAGCGAGTTTAACTCGGCGATTTGTTCCGTTTCTCAAAATTGTCAGCAGACACTAATCCTAGTTTTCCCGCTATGTGCTCGTGACTGCAAGTGCGCCATTGAAACGTGACTGAGGCTCGTCAGGATATTTTGCGGCCGCCATCTTTTGTGCCCGTTATTTGGAGGATAGCCTAAATTTACCCACCAGTAATGCAGTATAGTGTTTAAAAGCATATTGTCTATATCAGTATCAGTGTTGTTTTAAATTCAGAATAGTCCACATAATCCTTTTAGACTCAGCTGCTTTTTAAATTCAGAATAGTCCACAGACTATTTTAAGACTCAGCTGCTTAAATTGTCATCTTAATTTCTTGTAATATTTATTTTGTGCCCTTTGACTTTAACTGTTTATCAATGTTCATTGATTCTGTCTAACTGTACCCAACATGGCTAGGCTGAGTTAAAATATATTTTGAAAAAAATGTGAGATGTATGCTGTATTATCTTGTTTTTCTTTTCTGTAAATCCTTGTTGATTTATTTGTCTACATTAAACAAATTTTTTTTACCGTGTATATCAAGGAAGTAACACAAATATACTGAAGTATTAAAGGAATAGATTCTCCTGCCGACCCAGATTCTAGAAAGTAAAGGCGGCTGACATGGTGCTGACCACATCACCCACCGATTGCTGATAAGTGTGTGAAAGAAATATAGGTCTAGCCATAAGGGTCACATTTTTTGTGTGTCATGAGTGCCGCACACGATAACTGACTAAAGTCATTTAATAAAAATGATTGCTGATTGTGTTTATTGTGAGCCTCAGATTTACTTGCAATGGACTGCATGTTTGACATGCCGGCATTACGCTACATAATTTAATAGTAATATAGAAAATTAGAATTATCTCTATTTCAGCTTCAGATAGTGAAGATGATGACGGCGACGATCATGGTGATGATGACGAACATGGTGACATGATGGAAACGGAAGAAGCATCATCTGCTCCCACTTCAGATGATTCTGTGCTGTCTTTTGTCGGCCATAAAGACTCTGCTGGTGTGTATAGTCTTGTTATTGCTCTATACACTATACACACACTGATGTCTAGTACTTGTACACATGCTGATGTCTAGTACTTCTACACACACTGATGTCTAGTACTTCTACACACACTGATGTCAAGTACTTGTACACAGGTATTTTATCTGTTCCACAGCATCCTCATATACATAGATTTTGATCTAAACTTTATGTTAACAAATACACTCAACAGCTATATTGATTTGGATGACCAGACTGAATAAATAAAGTTCAACCCCACCAGGGCCACACAAAGAGCAATACACACCCGGGGACACAAAGGGCCACTATTCAGATGAGAATCACCCGGGCGTAAGTACCAGAAACCAGGTACTTCCGTTTGTTATATTAGGGCTGCCAACAACAGCCAGAGTGGGGTTTTAAAATACTGACAAATTGCGTCCCATTTTGGGGCCAGCTTGATGGTTGCTAATGACCAGACTGCAAGAACAGCAAGTTAAAAGGGGTGTAACCAGATAGCACTTTGCAGGAAGCCAAAGAAGAATAAGAAACCAATATAGAATGGCTGTTGTCACCTGCCACACGCTGGGGAATTTATTATTGAAAAGGGGATCTGATCACTTACGGACTGCATGTTTCGATGTGCAGTGAGAATAATCTCTCTCTAAGTCATAGTTAATCAATCATTTGTGATGGAAAATGGGTAATTTAATACCTAGAAAGGGCTGTACAATTAAAAAAAAAAGTGTGATGCTAATATTCACTAATCACAACGTACACTTGTCTTATATTTTTACTTTGATTGTGATTTTTTTCTTTCCAAAGTTTAATTTTTTTTTAAAGCTGTTACATAAGTCACCTTCAACTCAGCAACAATAATAATTGCTTTCTAACTGGTTTAATGTTTTCCCATTGCTTTTTTTTTTTTTTAAAGCTGTGTTTCAATGACAAAAATAATTTAACTTCTCCGAGATCATTATGTTTCAACATTCTTGTTTACAGTGATCTGTACTAGACTGAGTCCAACAAGTCATGAGATAGCAGTCACAGGGGGTCAAGATGACAGGGCGTTGGTATGGAACACCCAGGATGGCTCGGTCATCTTCCAGTGCACAGGTACAACACAATGGGCTGGTATATGTAATCCGGCTAATATATTAATACCTTGGTAACTCGCTTAAGAAGAACACTCGGTTAGCTTCAACAAAATATTAATTCCTGGATGAATGTAATAATTTGAGTACCTGATTAGTGTGCATGTTTTTTTTTTAAACACGTATTTTTTTTAAATTGGCGAATCAGACATGTGGACTGGCACCTGAGACAACAGATCATTTCCTCCAAGACTCCCAAATACAACATATCAAAACAAAACTTTTGGCCTAGAGAAACATCGGTGCAAGTCAAACTTTACTAGAGGCAACAAATAGATACTAGAGACAACACTGCAGATGTAGATAATCTATTTCAAGCGAACAAAAGAAGAGATTTTTTTTTAGTTCCTTGGAATTCATGTTAACAAAATTTTACTGTAACTCTTATAGATGATTGCATCAGTATTTCATTTGCATAATATTGATTCTGTGTCCATGGTGGTAGTATATCTTCTTCTTAAAAGTGTTCATTGGCTGTAAACTGGTGAAATGTGCTCTGTGTTCATCCACTTCGGACTTTAATTTTGTTCCAGAAGTTGAGTGTTGCGGGTGTGCACATCTGTTTTACAATCTGGCTTATTAGGTTCCTCACCCCTCAGGGAGATGCACACTCTTTGAAGAGGAACCCCTAAATAGTCGCCTTTTATGACATGCTTTATGGGGGGGGAGGGTCTGTGGGTCTGTTCTTCTTCTTAACTTCCTCTTTTACCGCTGTGGGTGTCGAGGGAGATATAAGGTTGTTTCTAGCTCTTCTGGTCGCCTCGACCATAGGCACATCGTGCTGTTGTAGAGTTTCTCTGATGTTATCCTTCCATCTAGTTCTTGGTCTTCCTCGTGCTCTACGTGAGTATGTTCTTTGTTCCCCAAAATTAGGGCACTGAGAACTCATACAGAGGGCATGACTTTCAAAGTGCTAATTAAATTGCTTAACTGCTTGACTATGGAGATCCCAAATGGACAGTTTCATTCGTCGACTGATATGACAGTTCAGCAACGCACTAGCAACGTATTGTCATCAGTAAATATAACAAATTCATCTGTCAGACAGTTCAGCACCGAACTAGCAACGTATTGTCATCAGTAAATATAACAAACTCATCTGTCAGACAGTTCAGCACCGAACTAGCAACGTATTGTCATCAGTAAATATAACAAATTCATCTGTCAGACAGTTCAGCACCGAACTAGCAACATGAAAACTCATCTGTCAGACAGTTCAGCACCGAACTAGCAATATGAAAACTCATCTGTCAGACAGTTCAGCACCGAACTAGCAATATGAAAACTCATCTGTCAGACAGTTCAGCACCGAACTAGCAATATGAAAACTCATCTGTCAGACAGTTCAGCTCCGAACTAGCAATATGAAAACTCATCTGTCAGACAGTTCAGCACCGAACTAGCAATATGAAAACTCATCTGTCAGACAGTTCAGCACCGAACTAGCAATATGAAAACTAATCTGTCAGACAGTTCAGCACCGAACTAGCAATATGAAAACTCATCTGTCAGACAGTTCAGCTCCGAACTAGCAATATGAAAACTCATCTGTCAGACAGTTCAGCTCCGAACTAGCAATATGAAAACTCATCTGTCAGACAGTTCAGCTCCGAACTAGCAATATGAAAACTCATCTGTCAGACAGTTCAGCACCGAACTAGCAATATGAAAACTCATCTGTCAGACAGTTCAGCACCGAACTAGCAATATGAAAACTCATCTGTCAGACAGTTCAGCACCGAACTAGCAATATGAAAACTCATCTGTCAGACAGTTCAGCTCCAAACTAGCAATATGAAAACTCATCTGTCAGACAGTTCAGCTCCGAACTAGCAATATGAAAACTCATCTGTCAGACAGTTCAGCACCGAACTAGCAATATGAAAACTCATCTGTCAGTCAGTTCAGCTCCGAACTAGCAATATGAAAACTCATCTGTCAGACAGTTCAGCTCCGAACTAGCAATATGAAAACTCATCTGTCAGACAGTTCAGCTCCAAACTAGCAATATGAAAACTCATCTGTCAGACAGTTCAGCTCCGAACTAGCAATATGAAAACTCATCTGTCAGACAGTTCAGCACCGAACTAGCAATATGAAAACTCATCTGTCAGTCAGTTCAGCTCCGAACTAGCAATATGAAAACTCATCTGTCAGACAGTTCAGCTCCGAACTAGCAATATGAAAACTCATCTGTCAGACAGTTCAGCACCGAACTAGCAATATGAAAACTCATCTGTCAGACAGTTCAGCACCGAACTAGCAATATGAAAACTCATCTGTCAGACAGTTCAGCACCGAACTAGCAATATGAAAACTCATCTGTCAGACAGTTCAGCACCGAACTAGCAATATGAAAACTCATCTGTCAGACAGTTCAGCACCGAACTAGCAATATGAAAACTCATCTGTCAAACAGTTCAGCACCGAACTAGCAATATGAAAACTCATCTGTCAGACAGTTCAGCTCCGAACTAGCAATATGAAAACTCATCTGTCAGACAGTTCAGCTCCGAACTAGCAATATGAAAACTCATCTGTCAGACAGTTCAGCTCCGAACTAGCAATATGAAAACTCATCTGTCAGACAGTTCAGCACCGAACTAGCAATATGAAAACTCATCTGTCAGACAGTTCAGCACCGAACTAGCAATATGAAAACTCATCTGTCAGACAGTTCAGCACCGAACTAGCAATATGAAAACTCATCATTTGACCAGTAATTTTCTTGCCTGCTGTTATGTGTCGAGGTCTAGTTTGTTTTTCTCTCACAGTGTGTGTGGTAAATAATGCCCATGAAATTTTCACATTAGCTTTTTAAAATGTGGCCTCAACATCAAGGAGAACTGGTTCATGAACAGCATTATCTCCCAAAAGCTGAGTTATTTTGGACTTATCAAGCACCACAGTGGTCTGGAAAGAACGGTGATGGAGGGTGCCGTTTCAGGGGAAAAAAAAGCCCCGGCGGACCTCTGCGAAACTGCGTACAGAACATTTAAGATGCATTGGCTATGAAAGCACACAGGGCTGGTGAAAGACTTGCAGGCGTGCTGTGAAGAGAGTGACCTTCTGTAAAGGACATGCTGATTGATTTTGTGTGTGTATATGAAATGTTCAGTTTTCTGGTTCTGTCTGTGTGTATCTTTCCCATAAAAAATGCATGATAACCTTTATGTTGTGTGTCCTATATTACTACACATCCTAGCTTGATAGTTGTCCTACAAATGTCCAGTTCATGATATGTGTGTTGATTGTATGCTTCTGGTGCAAGTAATCAGTTTCTCTTTATGAATTAATTTCTTTCATGGCATCTCCGGAGCTCTCCATGGCAAAGTGGGCAAGCTGTTTGTCTCACGCCGTGAAGGTTATGGGTTTGTTTCATGAATGCAGTTTTGAGTTCAGTTTTTACTTAGTTGCCCTGGGTTCTTTGCTGCCGCTAAAGATTTCATGCTCTGTGCAGAGTATAACCGCCCTGCAGAGTCTAACCAGAGACATATTTGATAAAACACTGTGCAGTGAAGTGGATCATCTACACTTTATTGTTCTTCTGTGAAACCACATCTGTGCAGCTTTCACACTGTTATTATTTAAATTTACCAGTGCTGTTATATGTTCAGGCCACGCAGATACAGTGGCAAGTGTAGGATTCAGCTACGATGGCTCCATGGTAGCAACGGCTGATATGAAAGGTATCATTAAAGTATGGAGAGTGGATCAAGGAAAGGAAATTTGGTCATTTGAAGTGTCAGAAGTTGAGGTAAGTGTAATATTTAATAAATGCTTTTCTTTAGTTTTGTGGCATCTTAATTGCCAAATGTTAAATCAGTAATTCAGTCAGTTATGAAAAGCGGAATCGCACATGCAATACTGCATAAGTACACACCATTTCAAACGTAACTACATTTCTGTACAGTACCCTGTCTGGCTTTTTTTTTTTTACATTTTGCTACAGTGTTACCAGTTTTATTGTATAATGACCTGAAATTGTCTGTTAATTACAAACACTTTGCTTGTCTTTTCTGATTTTGCTTTCTCTGTGTTTTTAATGCGAGGAAGTTTTTCACTCTTCTTTCTGTTATAAGCCTGAACGTATTCAAAATGCAAAAATACAAACACTTGGAAATATAACTCAACATATTACACATATATATTGTTCAGTGTTGTTGTATATTTGACACTACTATGTAGCGCAGAAACAATGTATGTTTGTTTGTTTTAGTATCCAGAAGCCATGAGTTGTTAACCCTTAGGCTCGGTATTATGGATATCACAACCTTTCGACCTTGATTCCATTGTAAATACCGTAAAATTGGGAGAAATATGGCTTTTCTGCCTACCCCCGGGAGTGAACCCGGACCACAAGGAGTTCGTACCCCGGTTTAGCCAACTACGCTAGAGAGCCGGGCAGAAACAATGTATAAGCAGTTAGTTATAAAGTCAAATTGAGACCTTGTAGACATGGTTGTACAGAGAATAGTCTGCAAGATGAAATAGCTTGAACTGCAGTAGAGCTGTAAAAAAAAAGTATGAGTTAACAGTTTGGGAAAGAATTGGCCAGCTATACAGACGCATTTTAAGGGGAGGAGGGGGATGTCACAGCTTTAAAGCCTGCATCAGCAAACAAAACATACTTCTTTAGCTACATTACAGATCTACATTGTAGCTTGAAAACATGGCACCCTCTGGATGCTTAAATGCACAAAAATCAGTTTTATAATAATTATTATTATTATGCTTCTTCTTCTTTTCTTCCTCATAATAATAATCATTGTTATTATTACTCTCCTTCTTCTTCGTCTGCATCATCATTTTCATCTTCACCTTCGTCTTCTTCCTCATATCATCATCTTTTTTAACGCTATGAGCTTGTCTCAATTTTGCTTACAAATGATGTACTTCAGTTTTGCATGTTTTTGTACATTGTTTTGACAGTGGATCCAGTGGCATCATGCAGCACCAGTGCTTCTGGCAGGAACAAAGGATGGTCAGGTCTGGATGTGGAAGATTCCATCCGGAGAATGTAAAACATTTGCTGGTTATGGGCCCAGTGCAGTGTGTGGGCAAATATTGCCAGATGGTGGGTGATTGCATTTCTGTGTGCTAACTTTGTCTTAAGGAGGTAACTTATATGAAAGTTACGGCAGGTGTCAAGAGTTGTGTGATTTTCTTGTCCATGTGTGGCATCTACTTAGTGGCTAGGAAAAATGTGACAGCTGTCTTCACTCATCATGTTAGGTTAATGGATGGTGGATAGGAAGACTTTCAGTGTTTTTTTAAGTTGTTGCAAGTTTTTTGCTTCTGGCAATTATTAACCATTGCATAATTTATCCCATATGTTGGTTGACAGCCCAGAAACTACTGAGCCCTCCATCCCTCTCATACCAATAATTTTGGGGAAACAAAGCTAAGCAGGCTTCTTTAGCCATGCGTTTAAATTTTCGCTGAAATTATTTGTTTATACATTTCATATTATTTGAAATTCATTATCATATTTATTATTATCCTGCTCAGAGTAGGATGAGCCCTTTGAGCACACACTCCCTTCTCCATCCCATGCCTCGGAATTATGTGTGGTAGAGGTCTGTGAGTCATTCCCACCCTCCCCCCATGTCTCTTTGTCTGCGCACCTACCACACAGTAAATCTTTCAGTGCATTGATTTTTACCAACAGTATTCATTGTTGTTAATTCTTTATGGTCAGAACCCTTGTTTGAATGGCAGTTTTTTTTTTTTTTAAATGTAATTTTTGTTGTTGGTACTCAAAACAAAGTGTCTATTGCAGTAGCGCAGAAATGTATACCTTAAAAAAGTTGCTGGTACTGCGCGCCACCTGGTGAAGAAAAAAAAAAGCCTGGCACTTGACTGATTTGTTGAGTGTCGTGGCAATGCATGGTTGTCTGCTGGTCTGGAGGTCTTAGGTTGGAATCCACATTAAGCCAGAGTGTCTTGGAACAGGTTTCATCTTTGCTGACTACGGTGGGGGTGCGGGTTTAAATCCTCCCTCCTGATGCAAGTGAGAAACAGAGACAGCTGATTTTTGATGCAGAGAGCAGACAGTGTCCCTGAATACTCTGATACAGGCTCAAATTGGCTTGTGAAAGAAAGTGAGCCGCATGGATATCCCCAGAAGTGGGAAAAGGAAATTTAGATGCCTAGAGAACACTTAGACAGAGAAGATTACCCCTCCCGACAATTTCCCTTTCTGGTCTTTAAATTAAGCCCCACATCTAGAATAGGTAGACAGCGCTAACCTGTCACCATACACACATCTAGAAATACATTAAACTGTAACTATAGATGTAAATCGATAATTTTTATTAGAATAAAGTCAATATCGGGGGGTGGGGGGGTTAACCTGACTGGAATTGCTGGATTCAATAATTATATGCACACACTGAGTTGTATTTGCAGATATGAATCAGTACTGAATACAACTCAGCTGTTTATCAAACTTGAAAAGTAGCATTTTTGTTATTGATCTGCAGGAAAATTTGCCGGTGTTGGGTATGAGGATGGAATGGTAAAAATCTGGGATTTGAAAACAGCAGCAGCTGTACATACAATATCAGGTAGGAGTTTTTGTTTAGTGTGCTGTTTATTTTAATGGTAGCATTTGGTAATTAATGTTAGTTCTTCTGTGTTCTTCAAATCAGGGAAACGTTTGGGCTTGTGCCTTTGTAAGAGCACATCACAGTGACGTGTACACATGACATTCCATGTAGATCCACTTGGGGGAGGGGTGGGGTCACACACCCCTTATTAAACAAATTCATGTAATAAAAGTGTACTTTTTAGGGGTGCTCCTTCTTTTTAAATCAGAGTGCATCTGTCTGAGAGATCAGGAACCAGCAGTCTGCATATAAATAAGCTTGAACTGTAAAATGGATGTGCACTCAAAACTCAGGTTATGGAACAAGGCTAAAGTTCAGCAGTGGATAAACAACCAGAACTTTCTGCAGGAGCTTACAGCTGGTGAAGAAGAAGTTCCATGAAGAAAATTCAGTGCTTTTAGAAGTAACTAGATAAGTAATTGTTACTGGAACGGTTTATCGGATTTTGCACATATTTCTTTCCCTTTCTTTCTATATTCGATGAAAAAGTGCAAAGACATAATTTTGTCTTAGAAGCAATGATGAATCATCATCAGGTGCCCTGCCGACTGGCGTGGGCGATCATGCCTCTCCATAATCTGCGATCTCCTGCAGCATGTATCAGTTCGTGTGCCGGCACACCTCCATGCCATGCAACAAGACTGTCAAGCATCTTCTCTCGTTGTCTACCTCTATCTCTCCATCCACATCAATGATGAATACATTGTAATGATGAACACATTTCCATTCGTATGTTTAAATAGAAGAATGTGTGTGTATTCTTCAGGCTTCCACTATATAATCCCACACCCCAATATACATAATGCTAGTAGCTTTCACAGACATAATATTTTGTTCAGCCGTCGAGGATATAATTGGGTTATTTATGTCCATTGTATTTTCACTTGTATACGTTTGCTTTTTATTTAAATGATAAATATCTACATATATTGTTTATATATTAGGTCATGAAGGACACCAGTCATCTGTATATTGTATGGATGCTAGTAGCAATGGCTCGTTAATACTGACAGGATCAGAAGACATGACTGCAAAAGTCATTAATTCTTCAACCGGAAAGGTATGTTAGTCATGAATATTATGTTAAATGCACATTATAGTTTCTACGGGGAAGAGGAAAGTCTGAAAATTTGGATATGATGATGCACCAGCAGAAATACTTCACAAAATTTACTCATAGATAGCTATTCTTCTTCTTAACGTTCACTGGCTATAAACTCTGATGGAAAATTCTGGTTGTTCATCCAATTTAGGACTTTAGCCTTGTTGCAGAACTTGAGTTTTGCAGGTACATCAGTTTTACTGATCTGACATATATGTATACAGTCTGTTGGTTCTTCACCTGTCAGGCAGATGCCTCTGACTTTGAAGGAAACTCCTGTAATTAGTTGACTTTTATAGGGGTGAGGGGGGCAGAGGGTTATTCCCTTCCACCAAAACCAGTGGAGCCCTGGAACTCATGCGGGGAAACAGACATGTTACTCGGAATGCAGAGATTATTAGGCATGTATAGGTGAGAAGGGGGTATTGTGTCGGTTCTGTGGCTAGGTCGATGTGAACGCTTCGTACTGCCGGGGTACCGGGTTCGATCCCTGCTGCTGGCCATGCACCTTGCGTTGGTTTCGACAGTGGTATCAGGGGGCCGACCGCCCAGAAAGCAGTGGCAAACTACTGGATGTAAATTTGAATAGAGAAACTAAAAAACAGCCAGGGACTGCTGGGGTTGATTCTGCAACGTCCTGTACAGGATACGCAACTAAGCTTCGGGGGGTATTGTGGTTCATTTCTGTGTCTAATATTACCCATAAGGTTTCTTTTATTTAAGAGTTTTTGTGGTTCCAGATTAAAGATTTGTAGTATTTTTAGATTTGTGAGCTCACATGTTTTTGTTGTTGTTGTTGTTGTTGCAGGTGCTATCCACACTAAAGTGCCATGATTCTGGAGAGGAAGATAACTCTGTGGAGACTGTTGGATTCTCTCATACGTGAGTTATATTGTGTACACTAGTCTTACACTGATAGAGGCATAATATCATTGATCCTTCATCCACCTATTGTTTAATAGTGTGTGATTGTGAATTCTTGCTACACGAAACTTTTTAGAACACTGACATCCTACATAATCTGAGAATTGGCTCATAAACAGCATCCTGTTCCAGAAGCTTGTTGAACATGGTGGCCTGGAGAGAACGGTAATGGAGGGCACAGTCCCTGGAAAACGAGGCAGATGGCAACTCCCGTGAAGGTAGATACAAGACATTGAAGATGTGTTGGCGATGATAGCACGTAGTGCTAGAGAAAGAGTGACTTTCAGGCATGCTGCGATGAGAATGGCATTATGTTAATGACTTGCTGTGGATAATTCTCTAAACACTGGTGTTATTAATTGAACCTTGTCACTTTACCACTTTCATCACCTTCTCAGATGTTTCTTTAGTTGAATTTTTTTTTAAGTCACGCTTTTTGCCATTGACTGACACTTGGATTTGAAAACTTGATAGTTTACATGGACTCATTCTTTGTAAGATGAAATGCCTCTGTCTGATAGGCGCAAAAGCCAGATCTGTAAAATGGATGTGTATGTATAACTCAATTGCTGGAATCGAGACCAAAGTCCAGAAGAGGACAAACAACTGGAAATTTAGCTGGAGTTTACAGCTGGTGGAGTTAAATTGACTCTTTATAACTCTTAAGTGTAACTAAATTTGTCCCATGGTGTCTCTGTTCATCTCCTTCACTTCAGACCCAAGTATATATTGCTTTTAAGACCAGTTTCTTGGGATGTAAGGTGTTAAAAGTCACAGCTTTTTGGGACTGCTAGTGTCAGAGATGAGTGCATAAGAAGTCTCTCTCTCTCATATATCCCGTTACTTAGTCTGTTTACAATTTCAGCATTGCCATGTTAAATTTATTGTTCACCACAGTGTTGTGTCTTGTTCTTGAATGCTGAATTAGGAATCGACATTCATAGCACTTGGGATACCGCAGTGTTGTGTCCTGTTCTTGAATGCTAAATTGGGAATCGACATCATAGCACTTGGGACACCCTCACAAGCCCTTCATCCCCATCTTCAGTAGCAAGCAAAGAGTTCCAATTCTGATGGCACCAGTAACTGTCTGAATGTATAACGGTCTTGCCTTCCCCTTGAGTGCTGAGCTTCAGCTAGATCCCCTGGTAACTCCACGCAGCGCTATTCTCCTCAGACCGTAATGATATATCTGTACCTCCGCACTGTTCACTCACTCACAAAATGCCCTCACATTCATCATTTCACCAGCAGGTGGCACAGAACTGGCCAGTCTATCTGCCTGCTCAATTCCACACATACCGGCATTACATGGAAAATATTCAAAGGACGCTAATTGCCCAAAACCCCTGAAGTGTAAAAGAAGAGAAGTCCTCTTGGGAATCTGTATACTGCTGTGAGCATAGAGCTATCACTGCCAGGGATAGCAAGCTATCTCAAGCAAAGTATTTCTGAGTAATTCACATCTCTCATTAAAAAAAAAATAAAAAAAATTGTTTATGCAGCTTCAGAGAACCTGGAGAATTGGACAGATACCAACTGTTATAATACTTCTTTCTTCTTCAAAGTGAAAGCCATCTCTAAACTTAGATGGTGGAAAGTTCTGGCCTTGTTCCAGAACTTGAGTTTTGTGTGCACATCCATATTGCAGATCTGGCTTGCTTAGGCAGACTGTTGGTTTCTCACCTTTCTGGGGTATATATGCTCGGACTTTAAAGGAAATGCCCCTAAGTGGTCACCTTTTACAAATGCTTGTTAAAGGGGGACAGGGGGTCTTTTCTTTTTCCCGTTTGTTTACCAAATTGTGCTTTCAACATTGACTGCTAGAATTCCTCTTGGCCCCCTGCTAATTCTTCTTTGCACTCACTGGCTGTGAATTCTGGCAGAAGGTTCTGGTTTTTTATGCACTTTGGCGTTGTACCAGGACCTGTATTTTGCATCTACATTTGTTCAACTGGCTTATTTATGTGCCGTTCTTGTTCCCTGCCTCTCCAGGAAGATGTACTCTGACTTCAAGATAAAACCTAGGCAATTGCTTTGTCATTATTAACACATTTAAGATTCCTGAAATTGTGTCAGTCTGTAAAATCTGGTATCAACAATGCTTGCCTTAATTATATCACAAGTGTGTTGTATACTGATTCTGGTGTGTTTGCTGATTGTATTCAGGCATGACTATGCAGCAACAGGCACACTCACTGGGGATCTGGAAATTTGGGATCTCCCTACAAAATCAGTGAGGCATAAATGTGATCATCCGGTGAGCATTCTCTTTTTTTTTTTCTTATTGCCTTTTCCCAGGACAGCTCTTGTTGTATTTTAAGAAGTGAACTAGTAATATTAACCTTTTGTATTACCTCAGGTTCTTCTTTGTCCTGTTACACATTCCAGAAGGTTTAAATTTGTCAGTTTTTCATTTCAACTGGTTTTTTGGTCATTTTTAAGCAACACTGTAAAGTTCCTTTATATGGATTTTATTACGTTCATCCTTTGTCCATATTAGAATCGGATAGTCCCACAAATCGGGTGTCAAGTAAAGGACACTTTCCACATCTTCAAATGCGTTGGGCATATAGGGCTAGACCTTTATTTCATAGACCTATCGGCACTCAGTGGGTGATGTGGTCAACACCAATCAGACTGGGCACTTTTACTTCCCACGACTTTATACCTGGTTCCCATTTAAGGCTGGGTCGGCCTGGGTACTTCATGTATTTCTTTTAATGCAGACTAACTGGGTAGTATGTCTATTTTAAAATACAGTGATCAAAAACTGCCTGTCGCCCAAAAATAACAAAAAATAATACATAAATTGAAAATGTCACATACTTTGAATATCTAGGTTCCATCAGTGGAGAAACTGTTCAGCAGAGGTGAAAAGGAAGGATGGCCATAGCAATACAAAGATTAAACAGCATAACTAGTTTATGGTTGAGCACCAGCAAGGAAGTCAAAATATTGAGAGCATGCATCTTCCCTGTAGCAACAGACATATGTGAATCATGGATAATCCCGCTGTCCTTAAAGAAGAATGTAGCTGAAATACTATAGAAAGATTTTCAGGATAGCCTGGGCAAAGGAGAAACATAATGATAACATCCTGAAAGATCTGAACACCAAGAAAGATTGGCTAATAGACTGCATCTTGTCTCAGAAGCTGAAATATTTTGGCCATATCAAACGCCACGGCGGACTGGAACAAAATAAAAGCAGAAGGCTTAGTACCAGGAAGAAGTGGCCGGAGCCAGCCAACACGAAGATTAGCACAAGATATAGGAAGACTGTAATAAGAGCTGCGTTCTGCAAGGGATTTGCTGCATGGTGATGAATGAATTATGTAGTGAGTAAAATAAATAAAAGACCCATTTCCACACCTTTTAGGCAATGTGGGTATATAGGGCTAGACATGTATTTTACAGACCAGTGGCGCAAGATGGTTGATGTGGTCAATACGCCAGCCGCCTTTACTTTCCAGGACTGCATCCGGTACCCAGTCAAGGCTTGAATACCAAGTCTTTTTTTTTTCGGTTTCGCCAGGAAGGCGAACCCATGACCTTTGTAGGGGACATCTAGCCGCCACGCTTCGGCGACTCACGTATGGTATAGCGCTACACAACTTGTATTCTTTATATTACAAAAAAACACATATATATTTTTTTTAACACAATAAATAGACTAACTCTTTGAGTCCCAGGTGGTTAAGCATCACAGGCCCAAGGGGTAGTCAAGGAAGGCGTAAAATTGGCGCATCTTGCGTTCGTTGGGCTTCTAGGTAGGAATCTATAAACATATGACGCGTTCCTTGGGACTCAAAGAGTTAAGCTGAATTTGAAAGATCCATTTTCACAACTGTGGCACATCGGGCAGATGATGGTAAATTCATATTCTTATTTACCAAAAAACAATCAGCGAGTGGTGCGATAAGCATAACGCTAGCCACCTTTACCTCCTACGACTTTACCTGGCAAAAGTTTTAGGCTGGGCTGAAATTAAAACTTTTTTTTTTTTTAGTTCTTACTTGGTGCAGAATTGAACCCATAACTTTCGAACCTATCATCATGGCAGCTCCCAAATTGAATTGTGTGTATAACAATTGTTATTTTAGCCTGGGATATAACTTTAGCTCAAGACATTAAACAAATTGTGATTTGCCTCTTTGCTGTTTACAAACTGTTTTTGTATTTATCCACATGTCATTTCTTTAAAATAAACAGTTTGGCATCGTAAAACTGATGTGGTCACACACAAGCCCAGTATTCTATACTGCCTGTCTCGATGGTAACTTCAGACAGTTTGATTCTCGGAACGGCCAGCTAGTTCGAACTTGGCATGGGCATGCAGCAGCCATCTTGGATTTTGACTTGGCTAAGTACGTGTTTACAAATATGTTTTCTGTAGCAGTTTCTTCTTCTTCTGAAATTGAGATTGTTTGACTGAAATCATCATGATCGTCATCATTCATTTCTGTTTTTTTTTACAATAAGCACTGTAGAGGAGGAACAGTTTGTGATCCAAAGCTTTGTGCATAAGACTAGATTTTGTCATTCTTTGTTGATGTAGAATGTCTTTAATGTCATCAGTAAGTCTTCTTGTGGTGTCCATGTTTAATTTCAGGTAATTTTTAGATGTAGCGCTTGTGCTGGTATTGGTTGCAGCTGCATTCTGACGAGATGAGTGAATCATGTTGAATTAAGAATCAACATCACAGCACTCGGGACACTCACATAAGTGCTCAGTCCCCATTTACTGCGTGCACATATTTCTTGATTGTGCCAGGACTGTTTCTTTGCCAGTTTTTCAAACGGGACAGTGGGAGACATTTCATTTGATTTCCCCTGGCAGAGGAATGAAGCGAGTAAGGGGTGACCTGATTGCAGTGAACTTGAAACCTCGACTAAGACACTCTGAAGATTTGTAAGAAATGATTTAGATAGCATGAGTTGAGGGCATTTGTATAAGAAGTGAATCAGGGGGTGAGCATAAGATTGCCTTACTAATTCTTAGACTTCAGATTCAAAATCCAACCAATCCTGCACAAGTTTATGAAGGGCTTGGCCTCAGTTTAGAGCTTAGTCTACATTGGGAGATGACCTGGAGTGCTTGCTGAAGGATTAAGGATTCTGTCTTTCACACAGAAGAGGGAACCAAACATATGTCAAAGGGTGAATTCTAGAGGATTTCTCAACACTGCTTCTTTTGGTGGAAAGGGGGGGGGGGGGGGGGGCAGGCTGGTTGATTTCTACATTTGATCTAGCAATTACATATTTTTCATAATTATCAGTTTGTTTTCTTCCTACTTGTGCTAGCAGATTGTTGGATCAAACTTTTTACTTAACAAAAATTACTTTTGTTATGACATTTGTCATCTTTTAAACAATACTTTTCTCACCAGAAATGAAGGCATTGCTGTAACAGCTTCAGATGATTCTATTGCCAAGGTGTTCTCGCTGACAGAGCTGTCGAGTTAATTTTATTGTGTTAAGTTGCTGTACATTAATTTTAATTGCTTTTATTCTCCTACACTTTTGTACAAACCCCCACAGACACTTCTCCCAAATGTTAAAGCTTCATTTGACATGCTATTTTGCATTGCCTTAATGTTTTCACAAAACAGGTACTATGGTGAAATGATCACATTTTTCAAAGCAATTTGGCAGAATATGAATAATGGTATCTTAAGAGACAAACTTTCCTAAAGTTACATATTTGGTATGTACTTACACTTAATGGTGACAAGTGTGGGAAATATTAGCATGTGCTGTAAAAGAACCAGTTAATGTTATTTTTTAGGAATTAGGAGGGCAGTCTGCCTGCAGTTGCTGTGTTGAAAAGACTATTTATCACAGTGCTGTTTAAACACCCACATAACTTCTGTTGTCTTGTGTGTATATATAATGAACCTATGTACTGACTGATAAGTGCACATCTCTAACGCTTTCACTCCATAAATTAAAAGGATGTGGGAGGGGCATAAACCCCAGATTCCTGGAAAATCATTTTATGCAAGTCACTGATCAAATGAAATTCTTTTGGGTCATTCAGTTATTTATATGCACATTGAAAATTTTGTGTCAAATAAGAGAAGGGGGGTAATTAGTAAACATGAAAGGGATGAATTAAGTGCGGTAGACTTCCTTGTGCCCAGAAATGTATTTGATGCATCATACTTTAGCCCTGTTGCTGTTAAACTTTAATAAGCTAATGGCAAATTACAAATTAAATACTTTAATAAACCTTTCACTGGCAGCTGTTTTTGGTACATATAATTGTATCAAGTCCTTCTTAACACTTAATTAAGGTTATTGGGGCTGGCCAGTGCCGGTTTATCATCTTTTGGGGATTAGTATAGGATAGGGATCCTGAAATGTCAGCCTCTCAGGGCCAAATGCTTAGTGTCATTAACACTGGTTATGAGCTGAAGCGAATCGTGCTTCTCTGTCTAATCATTGATATAACACACCATATGGAGTTTCAAGTTTCAGGTTAAAAGTATTTGTACAGATTTAACAGTTGAGCAGATATAAGCAATTTCATTGATTTTTTGTTTTGTTTGGCCAAGAGCTGCTGTCACGGTTGTCATTCTTATAAGCACTTCATCATCAGAAGCCAGTGAAGTGTTCTAGTTACGATGGTGCCGGTAGCAGTTTGATTATATGTCCGTCTTGCCTTTCCTCTAAGTGTAGAGTGTCACTCAGATCACCTGGTTATTCCCAGCTGTACCATTTACTCTAAACTATAATGATCAATTTGTGGTTCTGGATTATTCACTTGCTCCCTTAGGGTCTTGACCATATCTAGCGTGTCATGCATAAATTCACCACCCATTAGTGCAGAACCGCGGCATCCGTGGCTAAGGCGTCGCTAGCCCGACTCGTAATTCTAATGTGCAGCGATCGAAACCCACAGCTGCCTGTGTGGATTTTTATCATGGTATGGGGCGTCGCAGGTCGACCCAGCCTAAAATGGGTACTCGAGTGGCTGTCCTGAGGAAGTAAAAATGGCCGGCGTAATGCTGACCACATTACCCACCTAGTGCTGATGGTCTGTAAAAATATAAGCCCATATGCTTGATACGCCTAAAAGGCGTGAAAAGTGATCTTTACTTTACTTATTAGTGCTGAACCAGCCAGTATGTATGCAGGTTATTTCCCAACACTACTGCATAACCCAGAGAAAATTCAAAAGAGCCCTATCTACCTGGGACCTCAGAAGTGATATGGATATAAGGTCACATTTCTGAAGTCTTGTTCAGATGGTGAGCACTTTGTGTTACTTACATTGAGGTATCCAATTCTCCTGTATAACTTGTAAGAATCAAGACAAGGAAGTGTCGAATACAATTTTTAGTGCTGCTGGTAGAAAGAGTTGTAAATTGTTGCATCATGAACAGAAAGATTGAATTAAAAACAGAAAAAGCATTATGTTTGTTAAATTCTTTATGGCTTGTGACTGCCAGGTGAGGTTCCATCTCGTCTTTGGAAAATGTTTCAACCTCTTTATCTTTTTTGTAACTAGAAATTCACGGATGTGTTTACATGGTCATTATCCTATTGTATGTGCTACCATCTTCTTCAGATATATAACCTGGCACATTGTGATCGTTTTCCTTTTCACTGAGCTATTTAAATTGAATTTCACAAAATCCTGATACCCATTAAATCTTCCCACCCAAAAAACCATCAACCTCTCTACACGAAAGCAACAGGCCATTGTTTCTAGATGTGACCTGGGTATAACAGAATCTTCATAAAGGTTGGTGAACCTATCATGTCAAGTAAAAGCAGTAAAGACAGCCTATTTCCTCCAACCACTGGTCTTATCAGAAATTAAATAGCTGAACTTGTTAAAATTCCCAGTGTGTTAGAATCTAGCTAGAAGCACTGCATGTACTAATGGAAAAAAGCTCTCTCCCTCAGTTTAGGGTGGAACATTTATACCAGCACCCTCCTTCCCCACTCTAGAAAATGGCATCAAGCGTTTTTTTTTAAAGCTAGTAAAATATATTTCTGCCATGAACCAGGGGTTCTAGGCACCTGGACAACAAATTCTCAAATTTCTATTTGTGGTAAGTAAAAGCGCAATTAGAATTCTTTCACCCTGTAACAATCGTTAAAAAAAAAGAAATCCTTATAATGTGCTGCAACTCCACCATAAGAAACTAAAAAAGGGCAGAAGAAATTTTGACAATTTCTATAAATATCCAGGGGGTCGAACCCGAAGATCACCAAGCAGACATAAAGTCGTCTTCCTCTCGTGAGTGAAGTCATATCCCTAAAATCGGGGGTCTTCATGGTGAAGTGGTCAGGCTGTTTGCCTCACGTTCTAAGGTCATGGGTTCGTTTCACAGCGGCGCCTTTTAGTTCACAGGTGCATTTTTAACGGAGATCTCTGGTGATTGTCGCCAGAGCTGCGGAGTTCGTGCTCTCAAGAGGTGACTAGCTATTCTCCACAGAGAGACCAAGCCACATGGGATGAAATCCAGTTCAATGATGTAGATTTTAACCTTTTATGTCACTAAAATTTTTAGTTCAACTGTCATCCTTTAGATGTTAACACTACAGACTGCTATCTTGAGAACTAAAGCTATTGTATAGGTGTAGTGGCTATCGCCCAGATACATCATGCCACAAAGTGCCAGACGAGCTAGGTCTCTGCATTTACAGGATAACAGGGTTAAGGATAATAAGTTTGGCAGCTGATACTATATATATTAATATTGCCATTAACTGAAAATCATGGTATATCAGCATGGGGAAAACAGCTGTGAGCTGCTTCCAGAATAGTATAAGAGTACAATGTCTAAACCTTTGAGCTGTGATCGCTC